GAGTGGAGTGGGATATATGGTTCAGAACTATCAAGATGCGATGGTCATTTGTCGTTGAACCAATTATCCTGATATATTTATAACTTTTACTTCTAACCCTAAGTGGCTAGAAATTGATCAATTGTTTTCTGAGAGGAACCTAAAGGGATATTTGGCATGACAAGATGTTTGGGGATGTAAACGCGTGTACTTTCTAAGAAATATATATATATATATATATATATACATATATATATATGTATATATATAAATTTCTTACTATAGAGTATCCTTTTTATTATGAATCACCTTTGTTTTCTTTTTGTGCAGTGATGATATATACGATTGAATTCCAAAAGTGTGGTCTTACGCATGCTCAAATATTGTTATTTTTCACCGAAGAACAAGATACAAACTACTGATGGCATAAATAAAATTATTTTCACTGAAGTACCGTGGTGTGTAAAACAACCTCAATAGGACTTGAATGACCAGGATCCTCCCTCGACTTGTCCAATAAACCTGCAAAATAGTGTCAGGATGTATCCCATGTAGAGACTATGACGATCAAGTCAGTATGTGGATGAAGAAGACGATGGTCAGTAGTTGTATAACTCTGTAAGTATATAAGAGTGTGTTGAGTGTAGATGGATATACTCCACCCCTTTATACATGGGTGGTTACCTTGTTGCCCAAGACTGTCCAAGTGAGCTGCCCGAGTGTCCGAACTGCCCATTTACGCTGTCCGGGTGCTCGAATGGCCCAATTTTCGTGGTCCAATCCATGTATAGTTCTTATCTTAATTAAATTCTTTCTCATCCATAATATGGCGTCTTGGCATTGATTTTTCTCATTAGACTGTCTAACTCTTCAATCAGCTCGGTTTATCTTGAACTAGACTACTTTTCAGGTCATGTCATTGACCTGCATACTCCAGATCGAGTTTCTATCAAGCCAGCTGAAGACCCTAGCTCGACATGTTGCTAAGCTCCTCTACTTGTGGAGTCGCGTCGACCTAGAGACTCTTCAACCTCGTGTGTCCTTGATCCCAATCGACCTACTGGTTCTTTGATTTAACCAAACTGTTTCTTGAGTCTAATTGACCTAGTATGGTATCACATATCTTACCTAATGAGGCCATTATTCATTTTACTATGCCACAGTTAGAGATTATATGATGCATGGCCTTTGCAGAAGTGTTCACCCAGAATCTCCGCGTATGGCGAATTATTGTTGCGCCAAACTTTTTTCGAAAAACTTCTTAGAAACCACCACTATAGAAGAAGAAAAATCTATCCACGATACGGGCATCATGATAATGACAGGACCATACAGAAATATGGTGTTCCACTGGATAATAGATACGTTGTGCCGCATAACAGAATATTGTTACTTAAGTACGATGTTCAAATAGTGGAGTGGTGAAATCAGTCAAGGTCAATAAAGTATTTGTTGAACAAGGGCAACGATCGCGTCAGTACCACAATCAATCTATTTAATAATGGTGATGTCCTTTAGCAGACCAGTTGACGATGTGCATAGGTATTATGATTGTAGATACGTTTCATCTGTGAGGTTGCGTGCCAGTTGTTGGACTATAAGATTCAGTATAAGAACCCGTCAGTTGAGTGCTAGAACTTTCAACTCGAGAAGGAGCATTCGTGCTACTACAACAATGAAAGGCTGATGTGGTTCATAAAAATTAAAAATATGAAAGCAAGTTTTTAGGTTGGATGAAAGCCAACAAGAAGTATCTCGCTGCCATGGAACTTACGAGGCTCCCTCTATATTTACATGGCACTCGAATCTAAAGAGTTGGGAGCCCCAAATAGGAGGAGATCGTATAGCGTGGTTTCACTTCCTTCCTCCAGGTGTTGGCGATATCTATCACTTGAGGTGTCTTATCAACGATGTTTTAGGTGCAACTTTCCATCATGAGTGCATAAAGTTAAATGGAGTCCAAAACAATTCATATCGCGCTCGAGTCGCTTCGTTCCCGTTAGTCGCTTCAGGACCCTACCTTTTCCCAAAGAAAGTAACTGAAATCCCTGTTCGTTGAGGTTCCTGACATCAACTTCAACCTTGGACGTGCGTTTCTCCAATCCAGGAATGCAATCACGACTCGTGTTTTGTTCTCGGTCTGTTAGTGGACGACATGGAGTATATTGAAGGAATTAATTAGGCGAGTTAATAGTCGAGTGCAAATTTTTTGAGAAACCTCTTTGTCACTTCTCTCTTATTTGATACTCTTGGTCGAACATAGTTTGTGTGGGAGTCCCCCTGGTTTTACCTCCTGGATGACATCTTATATAATCGTCGAAGAGTTTTACAGCACCCAAGCACCCTTTTCAATTACAGTATATACTTCTGATTATTTTTTTTTTATCTATATATTTCAAATAAATTTTTTTCTTTAATAGTTGGTGATGAGCGATTAGGAAATAAAGAATCTCGCATTGGCAGAGGTTGAAAAATTTTGCGCAGACGTGGAACGAGTCTTCGCGAATATGGTACCTTGTTTCTTTCTAATCTCGACAGTAATGAGGCATCAACTAACAGACATATAACAGATCGCAGTTGAGATTCAAGAGTTGGTTGCCAATATGATTGATGAGCAACGCGAATGTTTATGGATCAATAATGGACTCAGGTTACTGTAACCACGACCACACAATTTTCTTTTATTTTTATGGAAGGACTGGTAAAACGTACGTTTGTAGGGCATTGTCATCTGCTTTGAGGTCCAAGGGGGAAATTGTTTTGAATGTTGCATCAAGAGGCATCGCGTCCCTTTTGCTGCTAGGTGGACGCATTGCGCATTCTCGATTCATAATCCCACTAAACCCGATGAAGGTTCTTCATCTGACATTAGTGAACAAATTCATTTGGCGTAATTGATTATGCATGGCTAGTTAATCATTTGGGATGGCGGTGGACAATACCTTGCAAGCCATGATAGATTTAGTGGATGCATCAACGAAAAATCTCCCATTTGGCGCCAAGTCTGTTGTATTTGGTGGATATTTTAGACAGATATTGCATGATGTTCCAAAAGGCAGTCACAATGGCATAAAGAATGCCACAATAAATTCATCAAAGTTGTGTCATGATTGTACCGTTTTGAGGTTGTCTAGAATGAGGCTTCGAAGCCTTGGAGGTGGTGATGAGTATAATGAGGTGAGGCACTTCTCATACTGGGTTTGCAAGCATTGACGACGGTACAGTCGGTTGATCGGACGACGGTTGTGCTGATATCGACATATCCGATGATATTATACTTAAACCATAAGGCGACTCTATCTCTAATATTGTTAAGAGTACCTACCCGTTCAGGAGTTCAAGAGTTCAGGTGACGATCTTAGCTATCTGAAGGACAGAGCCATACTTGCTCCCACTATTGATGTCGTGAACGAGTACATGAGCTCATTAAACGCCTCTGAGGGAAGGACTTATCGACAACGCTTGTAAGATGCTGGCTATGACTCTCTTCATGATCTTCATACTCCTGAATTACTGAATGACGTTAAGTGCTCAAGGCTGCCCATTCATAGTTTCACTTGAAGGTCGACACTCCAGTAATGCTACTAAGGAACATCGATCATTCAATGAGGTTGTGTAACCGAACGCATTTAGTTATTGCTAAGCTTAGTAGCCATGTCCTCGAATGTAGATTTTGACCTGTTCAAGAGCTGGTGATAAGGTTTTGATTCCGAGGCTGTCAATCATAACGTCAGATCTAAGTAAAACGTTCAAGTTTTAGCGCAAGCAATTTCCTGCCATGGTTTTTATGTTATGACGATCAATCAAAGTCAAGACCAATCACTGTCACACGACGACTTAGTTTTGAAAACCTTGTTTTCAGTCATAGACAATTATACGTAACTCTTTTTAGTGCATGAATCGAAAGCATTTGAAGATACTGATTTACGGTGATGACAATTCATATGATAGGAAATCCATGAATGTGGTATAAGAAAGTCTTTAATAATATTTAGATTTAGATTTATGGTTTGTTTTCATAATTCTTGATGGATTATAAATTATGTGTGTTACTTATTTTTTAACTTTTTTATTGTTTATTATTCTAATAATAATAATTCGCCCTCCGTGCATATAAGCATGAGTTGAAACTAGTTCAAAGTAAAAAGAAGGAATCCGTTGTAATTTCAATTTTCAAAGAGTGCAAACACATTTATTTTGCATAAACACAAGTTATAGCTTAATGAGGAGATAGATAGTCAAAAACATATATAAGGTTTGAGTTTGTTGTTCGGTTGGAGAATCTACTCCGATTTTGAGAGAGAAACTCAAAAATCTATTTTGGGTTTGAGTTTTTGGAGAGTTTCATCCCTGGTTTTTAGCTTTTCTGCAGTTCGATTGGAGACGATCGAAGGAAATCGATCAAAGGCAACAAAAACAATAGGAGAAAAAGAAAAGACATGTAAAATATTGATTGAATTACATATAGCAAAAGCCAAAGACAAGTGAAAAGGCAATTAAAAAATTTGGTTAAATTACAAGGATAAAAATATTATCAATAAATTTGCAGTTTGAATTAAATTATGCCTCACCGATGTGTTTCAGGCTTTCATCATATATACGCATGCATCGACAAACACTTGATATTTACTTATGTTTATCATGAAACATCTGGTACAACCATATATGATATATATTTTATCATATATATACGCATGAGGGACACATAAAGTTGAGCATTATACGCAATGAAGGATCCATTTCAAAGCAATTTTGTAAGCCTCAAATATTTAGAAGTCTACATAAATCCTCAATTACCAAACTTAAAGAAAGACAGACTTAATTCAGTTGCCAAGAAAAAATTAACGACGGTTCACAAAGGCAAGTGACAATTACTAATACCTTAAGAATTGACCCCTTTAGAAGTCTCAATTGGCCGTATACAGAAAAATTCCAACTCTTCAACTATGACTATCCAGGAAAATGCATCGGTTGCTGGCTCCATAAAAACAAGTTTATACAGTCCCTCAAACGGGCCTAAGTTACAAGTGACCCATTTCTGGTCGAAACTCTGTATCATCTGCCTGCCTTTTCATCATTTTGCTTCCTTTATCTTCATCACCAAACCAAACTTGGGGGTCTGTCATCATTCTCAAGGACTTCTTACTATTTCCGAATTTAAATCGTATCCTCGGCCTTCCATTCACCAGAACTTCTTCTCTGTTCTCCGGTTCACCAGAACCACTCCTCCCAATAGCATTGGGCTTCGCTGTTGGCTCAGAAGATGTTAGATGGTTCTCAAAAGCTTCAGTTCTAATATGGTAATCACAAGTATCATTTATAAATTTGGTTGGAAGAACGGGCACAGATACTTCCTTCTCGCCACATTGCAGAGGGGGTGCAAGAAACGGATTACTTTCATCTGCTCTATGAGACCACGACGCTTCCCTATGGTCTTCCACACCTGATTCAAACCCATTACGAACCAATTTCTGCAGAAAATTCAGCAATGGCCTCTGCACCTCTCTCTGATTCTCATCAATTGGCTGAATTTTTTCCACAGTCTCCGTCTCTAAGTCCTTGGAACTTAGATTTGTATATGTCTTGGGATCAGGAAAAACCGGCAGCCAACATGGTATATGTTCATCGGGTGGATTTTCCTCTGCCTGGGAAAAACTAGGGTTCAGTGCCCTTTCTTTCACTACTGGGAAAACCGGGGTCAGATACGCAAACCGGATTTCATCTGATTGGCCAACATAACTAATGATATCCTTAATCACTCCCGATCTCGATAAAGAGCGGTTAACATCCGAAGCACCTGAAAAGCCCTGAGTGAAGCCCAGATCCTCCAATCCCTGGATTACATCAAAGGCGTTGCATTCGCTCCTATTTGCCAAATTGGCATACGAGTTTGCTGCTTTTCCTATTTCTCTGATGTATCTGACCCCTACATCTGCTAGACTATCGAGTGCAGACTGTTGAAAGCTCTGAAACCCTAGGCTCTCGCAAACCTGCGCCACTGCAATTCTGGCAATGGCCTGGGCAAATTCTTCAGCTCCCGACTTCTTCTTGATCCTCTTTGACTGCTGATTTTCTCTCTCGCTCAAGAACTTCAAGCCGTCCCTACCTTGCCCATCGCTCATATTCGGCAACACTTCATAATATCATATCACAATCAAATCACACCTCCTCGCCCGAACCCAATTCCCCCCAAAAACCACAATTCGCTGCTTGATTTCCAACAAGAAACGAACTTCAAACACTAATTCATCGAGTCATCGAGCCACCAGCATCCCCGCAGAAACCCTAACCCTTTAATTCCCAAGAAACAAGTCGATCCAATAGACTACCGCCTTTGAAACAGAAAATTAAAAATGAAACAGTAGCGAGGGGCTTACCTGAGATACTCTAGGGTTTAAGCTGAGCCCTGATTGAGTAGCACATCAGCTCTGAGTTAATGGAGAAATTGACGAATAGAAATGACAAGGCAAAATGCAATTCTTGATAAAAAAAACCCGATTTGATGGGGAGGGTTTGGAGCTGCGGCCGCTTCTTTATAGACAAGTTTTCTTCACTTTGGTATATAAAACTGTACTGTACTGGAGGATTCGATAGCGGAGGGGTGGTTCTCACTTCTCCACTTGAGAGTTTTAAAAAAATAGTGCGTACCGTGCAATGTACGGGTAATTATATTAAATAATATTATAAATAAGTTTTGAGTTCCACTTGAGTGTTTTAAAAAAATAGTGCGTACCCGTGCAATGTACGGGTAATTATATTAAATAATATTATAAATACGTTTTGAGTTTGAGTGGTGGGGAAATATTATCTTATTATAAAATAATAAAAAAAAATATATATAAATTAAAGATGTTGGGGTTAACATGTGATATAATTTACCGTCGTATATCAGTTTAATAATTATAAATAGCACTCGAGTTCGAGTGGTGGGAACTATTATCCTATTCTAAAAGAGCAAAAAAATATATAAATTAAAGATGTGGGGTTAACATGTGATATAATTTACCGTCGTATATCAGTTTATTATCAGCAATATAAAATTAACTTGTATAAGAGAACATAAAGTTTGCATGTTTAAAATATTAAAAAAACATGTAAATGTAAAAGTTTATGTATTATTATTAAAAGATGTGAAGTCACCTACAATTTTGATCATAGCGAAAAAGTCGAGACCTAAGAAAAGAAGTAAACCTTATATTCTTATTATTCTTCGAAAGCATAGCAAGGTTTTTGCAATTTCTTTCTTTAAGCTATTTTGAAAAGAAAACATGTTTAAAAACATTTAAATTTTACATTTGAATGAAAGAAGTTTTCTAAACTCTGTTGTAAAGAAAACATGTTTAAAAATATTTAAATTTAATATGTATATATAGATATAATATGACATGATAAAATATTATATAAAACTATCTACAATATCATAAGCCTAAATAAAAACATTATAAATTTTTTGAGAGAAAATTTACCACTTATATATAAAATAAATAAGGACATGATGAGAATTATGGCGGTATTTCTTATTATTTTTATATAAGTTGCTACAATTAAAAAGAAATTTTGTACGCATAACAATTCCATGCTTTATGCAGATTTATTAATTTTACAAATACAAATTGAGATTAATGTAAAATGTAACATATAAAATGGAATTTTATATATAAGTGATAATAATACAAAAATTGAAGACAATATTTAAATCTACATTTTTTTTTCTATTAACTTTTTATCATGTGAATTTAATATCTTTGGAGGAGAAATATGTGATAAATCTTATTCTCGTTATATATATATATATATATATATATAGG